CACAGTGCCACTTCTGGCTTTGTCTCCTTATGTGGTGCTGAAGAATCGAACCCAGGGCCTCATGCATGCAAGGCAAGCACTCTACCACTGAGCCACCTTTCCAGCCCCAATACCTTAAGTCTTAAAGGTGGATTCTTTATTACATCTTTTTGTTCACTTCCATTGCCAAATCTGAATAGTCAGTTCTTTGTAAAGCTCAAAGCAATGTAGTTGAAAAAGACTGTTTACATCTCTTTGAATAAGAGACTACTGTGTCTAGCTCTCTTAACTATGCACTGCTTCTCAGAGAGAAACAAACCACAAAGAAAGGCCCAATATATCTGTGTAAACATTGCCCTCAAGTCTTTGGACATCTCCTAAACTGTACATGCACAAGATGACTACCCAGGAAACACAGCAGAAATCTAGAATTCAGAAGACAATTAAGAACAAGAACTGGGGATATAGCTCAGTGATAGAGTGCTTATCTGGCATTCATAAAGCCCTGGATTTGATCCCAGTTACCACAACTTAAAAGGAAAAAACTTTTAAATAGGTTATAAGGTTCAAACTAAATCAGTGGGTGAATTTAATAGTTTACTACCAGGAAGGAATTAGAAGATAAAATAAGATGTCTTAAATTTCTAATCAAACTAGTTTCCCATCATATCAGGATACTTGTTGGTCTTATCTGTACAGGTGCTAATTTGCCTTTTATTTTCCTATCCTATTTTCTTTTAATTTACTTATTAGCCACGTGCTGGTGACTCATGCCTATAATCGTAGCTACTCAGGTGACCCGGGTCAAAGCCAACCTGGACAGGAAAGTCTGTGAGACATTTTTCTTCTTTTTTTTTTTTTTATTGTGAAAATACTGTACAGAGGGGTTACAATTACATGGGCAAGATATTGAGTACATTTCTTATCAAGCATTGTAGCCTCCTCCTTTGTTTCCCCTTCCCATCCCTTCCCATCTCACCCACCACCACCCCTAGCCTACTCACCCCCTCTTCCCCCGTTGAGCCAAAGTTATAAACTTCGTTTTTCAACATAACGAATTGTACATCTCATTGTTCCAGTGGGTCCACTTGTATCACTATTTAAACGATTTGTTTTTGCCCTTCCCCTCCACAAATTATACCAACATCAAATACAGTGAAAACAGGGGTTATACCATGGGGGAGGGACATACAAAGCAACAAAGAAATCATCTTATAAATATGTTAGAAACAATAGCAAGAAAGAAAAAACATTTGAATACTTATCTTGGGGTTCATTTCCCTAGCATCAACTTATCTGACCTTTTCTGCTTGTCTCAGACATATACCTGTTATTGCAAATAAGGGAAACCATGGGACCTATGTTTCTTTGGGCCTGGCTTACTTCACTTAATATAATTTTTTCCAAGTCTTTCCATTTCCTAACAAATGGGGCAATGTCATTCTTTCTGATGGAAGCATAGAATTCCATTGTGTATATACACCACATTTTCTTGATCCATTCATCTACTGAGGAGCATCTGTGTTGGTTGCATATCTAAGTTATAGTATGTGAGACATTTTTCTCCAATTAACCAGTAAAAAATAACAGAAGTGGAGCCATGGCTCAAGTGTAGGGTGGCAGCCTCAAGTAAAAATATTAGGAACAGTACCCCAGCTTGAATTCAAACTCCAGTCCAGTACAAATAATTACCAAAATTGTAGACATTTATGGTTTACAACATGTTGCTTTCAAATATATATACATTGTAGAATAACAGTGTGTACCCTACTTCCTATTCCTCCCATCTAATGGACATTTTGTTATCTTCTTTTTCTTTCCATTATCTCGTCACGTTGCCACATATGAAGACCCACATCTTTCATCTTGGCAGTTAGGAAATTTTGATAAATGGAGAGGTGCTTTGCATATTGGCAAAGATAGTGCATAAAGTTCTTAATTAAACTCATAATTGTTAAAATTACTAACAAACAGTTGATATGGACCTCTTAATACAATCTAGGTTCCAGACAGAGCAAATTCTACCTTCCAGAAAATTAGGGAAGTAAAACAGACTGTTATTTCCAGAGAAAATATATTTTAAAAATGAGTTATAAAACTACGGTGGGAAGCAAAACCAGGGATTTGTAACTATAGTATAGATGTGGTGGTATGGTCCATAGACAAAACATTAATGAAGGGTAAACCTCAGTTTCTGGAAGCATGTTTATGATCAGAATTGTTTGGAGGGGAAAACAATGTAAGCTCAAGCCAGACAAAACACTATAGTTATTAAATTTCTGTTGCCTTGGAACCATGCTGATAACAGAAAGCCGTGATGTTTGAGTGGTTTCAGGTATGAGAATTGGAAGGCTTTGAGGTTAGGAAAACAAATGGCAGTAAAATATTAATGTATAATTGCTCTTTGGTTTAGTTATAAAAGTTATACGAAGTTTGTTCCTTTTCCTTTAGAATTGGATAAATTGAATCTTAAATTTGGCTATCTAGTATGATGTATTCTTTGGCAAGCTGTATAGAATTTCAGATGTTAATTTACATTGATAACAATATAGTCTATATGTATCCATTCCTGTTCTCTCTGTCTCTTTCCTTCCTTTCTTTCCCCCTTTCCTCCCTCCCCCTTTCAGACAGTATCTTGCTTTGTGATTCATACTTGCCTTGAACATGCTATGTAGCTACAGTTGAGCTTGAATTCACAATTCTCCTGCCTCAGCCTCTCAAGTACTGGGATTATGGAATATAGGTGTGTAGTATCTCATCTAACTACTTCAATTTTATATTTTATTGTAAGAGACTGGGTAGAGTGCACTTTTTATCTTCAACTGGATCTTGTTTTAATATTAACAGCTGTTAGACTGATACACTGGTGCAAACCTATAATGCCAGCTATTCAGGACATCTAGATACAAGGATCTTCACTTTAAAGCCAGTTCTGATAAAGTTGGCAAACTTACTAAGATACTATCTAAAAAGTAAACTACAAACAAAAGTACTGGGGAGAAATCTCAGGTAGCAGAGCTCTTGCTTAGTATGGGCAAGGACCTAGTATCAACAAAAACTGTTAAGACTTTAGCATTGACTCCATATATGCAAGTTGTATGGCTCAAAACATTGATCTTACTATTCACTTGCGATGAAAAGCTTTTGTGTTACCTCCCTCCCTCCTTTTACACTGCAAAAATCCTTTCTGGATCTGGGTCTTACCTATTCCAGGTCTATAGTCTTTCTTTGGTTATTTGTTTACTCATAGATTTAAATAATGGCTAAACACGCTGGGTACTCATGACTCACACATGTACTCCTAGCTACTGAGGAGACTGAGATCTGAGGATCATGTTTCAAAGCCAGTCTAGCAGAAAAATCCCCATGAGACTCTTAACTCCAATTAACCACTCAAAAACTGGAAGTAGAGCTGTGGCTGAAAGTGATAGAGCGCTAGTCTTGAGCAGGAGAGCTCAGGGACAGCACCCAGGCCCTGAGTTCAAGCCCACAACAAACAAAAAATAAAGGAAGGAAGGAAGGAAGGAAAGAGGGAGAGAAGGAAGGAATAAAGGAAGGAACGAAGGAAGGTAGGCCTAGGCATTTACTATAAGACAGATAAAAACAGTTTCACTAACTTCTATTTACCATGTTTTATTTTGAAAGTCTTTTACCAATGCAAAAGAACATTGTTCTGTTTTTAATATTCATCCTAAATATTCCCTGTACAACTTTCCTGTAACCTATGATATATAATTATCGATGATGGAATCATATTGTAGGAAGTAGTATTTTGCTTCTTTTGTTCAGGAGGATTGTATCTAGACCTCTTGGATGCTGAGCATGTGCTCTATCCGTGAGATACATCCCCATAGTCCCATTTGCTTCTTCTTATTGCTGAATAGCATTGGATTGTATGAATGTATTCAATTACCCATGCGCCAGTTAAATCACATTAGAGTTGTGCTCATTTTTGGCCATTATGAATAAAGCTGTTATAAGCATTGATTTAGGAACCACCTTTTTAAATGAGAATAGCATAGAGATGGGGCAGTGTTTAGTATGAAAATTGTTGAGGGGCTGGGAAGGTGGCTCAGTGGTAGAGCACTTGCCTTGCATGCCTGACGCCCTGGGTTCGATTCCTCAGCACCACATAAGCAAAAAGAAAAAAGCAGGAAGTGGCGCTGTGGCTCAAGTGGTAGAGCGCTAGCCTTGAGCTGAAGAGCTGAGGGACAGCGCCCAGGCCCAGAGTTCAGGCCCCATGACCATCCCCCCCCCCAAAAAAAGAAAATTGTTGAGTAGAAAGACATCACAAAACTCATATTAATTTTGCATCAATTATCTTTCATTTAAATAATTTAACTTCTTTTTTTTTTTTTTTTTTGTTCATGGGGCTTGAACTCTTGGCCTGGGCGCTATCCCCTCAGCTCTTCTGCTCAAGGCGAGGGCTCTACCACTTGAGCTACAGCGCCACTTCCGGTTTTCTGGTGGTTTATTGGAGATAGGAGTCTCACGGTCTCTCCTGTCCGGGCTGGCTTTGAAGGGAGATCCTCAGATCTCAGCCTCCTGAGTAGCTAGGATTACAGGCGTGAGCCACCAGCGCCCGGCATAATTTAACTTCTTAATACCTGCTTCTTTTGTAAAATGTGTATGACTCAGGGCTTTCTATAGCTGTAAGATAATAGAAAATGTCTGCTGTATGGGTAAGGCATTTGTTATTGTCTTCTCAAAGAGGAGAAATTGTAAATGGTCCATATATGTAGTAAAACTAAGTTCTGTGAAATCATTGTAATTCTTTTTTTTTCTTTTTTTTTTCATTGTAATTCTTTATAGGAGCATTTTGTCTTTAAGTCTGGTTGCAAATATTTTAAAAATAATATAATTTGCTCATTGAATTTTAAAGGTCTTTATAATCTCAGACTTGGAGCCATATAATACAACTGATTTTACATTGGAAAGTTATTTTGAAAGTAATACTTCATACGTTCTTTCAAAATATTTTAGGCTTCATTTTCTAACATATACTTTTATTTTAAATTTAGATGGGCCTAGGAAAAACAATCCAGGCAATTGCAATTGCTTATTTCTATAAAGAAGAATGGCCTCTCTTAATAGTGGTCCCTTCATCTCTGAGGTACCCGTGGACAGAAGAAATAGAGAAATGGATCCCAGAGGTAGAGCCTGAGGAAATCAATGTTATTCAGAATAAAACTGATGTTGGGTAAGAACAAATTTTTAATCTTTAAGAAAAAAAGTCTTTGTATACTCAGGTGTGTTTTTTTGTTGTTTGTTTCTTGGTGATTGGGGTCAAACTTGGACTTCATGCATTGTAATCATGTTTTGATGATTACCTCTATAAAATTTAGAAATAAGAGAGTTACTCAGTTCCTAGTTGCTTACTCTTTTAATCCTACCTACTCATAAGGCCAAAAACTGGAGAGTCACAGTTTGAAGCCAGCCCAGGCAGAAAAGATATGAGAGATTTCAAAATAACTAGCAAAAAGCAAGCCTGGTAGTATGGGTCAAATGATAGAATGCCAGCTAAGCGAGCAAGCCAGGCAACGCTCTTAGTTCAAACCCAGTACAGGCAAAATGAGATAGTATTGTAGGATATTTGTTTTACATTTTCAAATATGAATTATATACCTAAAACCCAGCAATTTATTTAATCTCCATATTTTTATGACATAGTTTAAAAGTAAGTATAAAATATGCATATTTTAAAGATTATTTTACATATCCCTCACATGAATTAAAATTGAATTGTTTTAAGGTTCAAAATTACTTGTAGCCAGAAGCTAGTGGCTTCTACCTGTAATCCTAGTTATGCAGTAGGACAAGATCTGAGGAGTGTGGTTCAGAGCCAGCTTAAGCTGGAAAGTCTGTGAGACTTATTTCCGGTTAACAACCAAAAAGCCAGAAGTGGAACTGTGGCTCAAGTGGTAGAATGCCAGCCATTAGCAAAAAACTCAGAGAGAGCACCCAGGCCCCGAGTTCAAACTCCAGGACTAACATACACACACAAAAAAAACAAATTCAAATTTTCAATGCCTAACTTGAAGCTATGTAAGCTTATTCTTATTAACAAATGTGGTACATTTTGTTTTCTAGGTTGTTTATATAGAAAATTTATGTGTTACCTGAAATTAACATTAGCAAGTTTGCTTTTAGTTTTTATGTAATTTTTTCATTTTAATATTTGATTTTTTAGATATTTGAGAGAATAGGTGAGTTGGGAAAGGTTGGGTATAAATGTTGAAAGGGGTAACATTAATCAAGATATATTGAAGTCATGAACTGCTTTGATAAATAGTGGCTCCTTTGTACAACTAGTTAAAGATGATAAAAAAATTAGAAAGAATATTCAGTCATTATTTGAACTTCTTGTAAAAATTTATTATTATTAGTGAATTTTTTCTCATTAAATTAACCAACTTGAATATGATATTAGTACATTGCATATCTAGTTTTTGAATGATGAAAATTATCATGTTTCCAAAAGCTCAAAAATCCTTTCTGAGCCTTAAGAGCAGTGCATCTACTTTGAATAAATGTTAATTCTTAGATTTAAAAATTATAGTATTATATTCTACCATATTCTCTATAATTTTTAATACAGAAAATATTTATAGAAATAAGTTTGGTCTTAGTGAGTTTGGAAAAAGGAAATCGATAAGGGAGGTTTGTTTTTTTTTTTTTACTCTTCCCGTAGCAAGATCTAATGCATTAGCACACATTTGTATGTGAAGAAGAAAATGTAGACATTATTTGCATTATTAAGATAAATATAGGCAGTCATTATTAATAGATTCCTATTTTGCACTAAAATTTCATAAAATTAAAAAGGAGGATATATAGCGAATGTTGAATTAATTAAACCTTCCATAACAGTTTCCTGTCATCTGTACTTTATTTTAAAATTTTCTTAAGATATGTCTTTCCTGGAGTCTTTTATTGCATTTAGAACCTAGGCAATGTCCCTGAGCTCCTCCTCACCCCACCACCCGCATTCAAACCTAGCACTCTACCACTTTGAACCACAGCACCTCTTCCAGTTTTCTAGTGGTTAATTGAAGATAAGAGTTTCACAAACTTTCCTAGCCTGGCTAGCTTTGAACTGGAATCCTCAGATCTTAGCCTCCTATGTAGCAAGGATTATAGGCATGAGCCACCGGCACCTGGCTGAAATATACTTTCTTGCAACTAAAAATGATGCTGTTATTTTTATTGGAATAATATTTGGGATAGGTTAGGTAGCCCTACAACCCAAGTATGAAAGGGTTTGAGAGAATATTAACTAATGTCAGAGAAGTTACCTAAATCCTAAAAGAAACAGCTTTGAATATGTACCAACATGTGTCAACATGCATTACCTCAGCCATTCCCAAACTCTTCTTCAGTTTAGAGACAGCAGCACAAGCTACAGAACTTACTACAGTGGCTTTCAAAGCCTTTCTCTTCTGTATGTTGTTCACTGTATACCTAAGTTATATAGTAATATTAACACCATGTTTTTCTTCTGCATATTCTTCTGGAGTTGGAGTACAGTAAGAAAATCATAGGGCTTTGTTAAATAGATTAAAAAGAAGCTGCCATTTAAAAATGCATTTGTGACAGTAGTGCTAGATGATGCTTAGGCTCTCTTGCTTTTCTGCTAGAGGGTAGAGAATGTATTTTTTCATTATGGATAATAGTAAATGGAAAGTGATGTGTTTCCTTGTTCATGAATTTATTCATCAAATTATTCTACAAGTATTTGCTGTGAACATAGCACTGTGTATATAAAGATGGATAAGCCACATTATACACATAAGATACATAAATATGAAATGTATAAAAATAGTTCTATGTGTATAATTTCATAATAGAAACATAAAGAATATTACAGAATTGTGAATTGTAGAGATAAAAAGAGGATTTCTTTACGTTAGCTCAGTGATTCTCCACCTTAGGTGATAAACCCTTTTCTAACCACATTCTATCATCACCTGGCCAAGGCCCTTTTTGTTGTCACAGTAAATGAGGAACTCTGTTGGCCTTCAATGGGTTTGAAATGTCCTGGAGTTTGAATGTCCTGAATTGTACTAGACAGGCCACTTATACTAACTGTTGGCCAGATCAAAATACCAATAACAACAAGGTTAAAAATGTTCTATTTTTGTGAAAGTTTCCCTGAATAGCCAACTAATGTTTGAGTGTCCACTTTATGCATAATCTTAGATACATAGAAGGAAATATTATCAGAAAGTAATGGCCTTGTCCTAGTAATGTTGTTCATTAGATCATCAAATTTTCCAAAAACCACTTAACCAAGATTTTGGACCCTACTTTATCCTATATGAAGAATGTAAAATTTTAAGAGAAATTGAGTTTCAGTGGTAGTGTCTCCTCCTATGGTTTTCTTTTCCTTCTGCTTATTTCCCCCTCCAAAATTGTATTGTTTATAATTGTTTGAAATTATATTGTTTAATCATATTCATTACTGAGGTATTTTTAAGTATATATTTTCTCTTCTAGGAGAATATCAATCAGCAAAGTGACAGTTCTGGGTTATGGGCTTTTGACCACAGATGCAGAGACTTTGATAGATGCCCTGAATAATCAGAACTTCAAAGTAGTGATAGTGGATGAGTCACACTACATGAAATCTAGAACTGCAACCCGCAGCAAGATTTTATTGCCAATAGTGCAGAAAGCCCAAAGAGCCATTCTTCTTACAGGAACTCCAGCTTTGGGAAGGCCTGAAGAGGTATTAAAATTTTTATACTTTAGTTTTTAAAGGATAAAAAGGAAAACTGAATCAGTCATTTGCTTTACAATGTTTATTTTCAAATCAGATGCTTCATATGACAAAAGAATACATTAGGACTCTCTAGACAGCTATCAACAATTAAATATATATATCTTTTATTATGACTTTTTTGGTCTATTTTCATGGAAATCTTAGAAGTCCTTGTAGGTATGTATAAAATACAATTTTTACCATTATTACAATGTTTCTGTAGTTAGTGCAGTAATATTCTTTACATCTGCTCTTGACATTATTTCATAGCCTCGATCTTTACTTACCTTAGGACTTTCTATAATAAGCACATTACCATTGGGTTATCTACTTTATTTCTTTTATATAGCATTATAGAACTTGTCTCTACTTTTCTTTCACTTCAAAACACACATTTGAAAAGGCAGAGAGAAGCTAGAGCTTGTGTGTAGACCAAATGAGGTATGTAGTTATAATGGAAGAAGAAGGAACTTGTTTCATACCCCACTTAGCTTTGTCACCCTAACAGGTAGAGTGTGGATTAAAAATAACAGGTGAAACTTGTTAAAGGCTATAAGGGTTAGCATTCCCTAATAAAGCCTTGTCTACTAATAAACACTGATCTATATTGAAACAACAACAACAATGATTTGTTCTGTTCTAGAGTTTTTAGGATAATTGAAGAAAATTCGAAAATGCCTAGCCCTTTGTCTTACCTCTCAACATATGGTACCCATTCTTGATTATTCAGACAAATCTGAATAACAGCTATTATCATTCAGTTTCTGCCAGTAATATCTAGACTCTGCTTTTAACTTCCTTCCTTGGAAATGTTCAGAGACTTGTCAATGCTAATTTTTCCAAGAACCAACTTTGGATTAAAAAAAATGTGTTTCCTGTTTTGTTTCATTTAGTTGCATAATAGTCTTTATTATCTCCTTCAACAACTGGCTTTTGATTTAGCTTGCTCTTCTTTTTCTAAGTGGAAGGTTAAGTAGAGATAGTTCTTTTTAAACATAATCATGTACAACAATGAATCCCTACTTCTGCTTCAGCACTATTGGTTACTTAGGAGTATATGTCCTATGAAAAGAATATAAAATGCCAACATTGCTTTGAAAATCACTGATAGTTCTTTAGTACTTGCCTGTATAACTGTACTACTCGCTACTCATAAAGCTGAGATCTGAAGATTCCAACTCAGAGCCAGAGAGAGCAGGAAAGTCCATGAGACTCTTAACTCCAATTATCCACTCCACTTATCCACCAAAAAGTCAGAAATAGAGCTGTGGCTCAAGTGATTTCCTTGAAATTTAGGGACAGCCCCCAGGCTCTGAGTTCAAGCCCCAGGATTGGCACACACACACACACACACACACACACACACACACACAATTTAAAAAAGCTGAAGAGGTATTGTATGAACCCACAGTTCCAGTTCCATTCCTGTGAACCAAAGAAAATTGAAGACATATATTCCAGATTTTGTTTTCTTTTTAGTTTACATAGCTGGAAATTGAATCAAGGACCTTACTCATGTTAGGCCAGCATTCTTCCATTTAACACCTAAAGCTCTTTAGTTTTTATTCATTCATTCGTTTATTTATTTATGTTTTTTGGTAGTACTGGGGTTTAGATTCGGGGCCTTGTACTTGCTATGTAAGTGCTATAGCTTGGGTCATACCCTCATTTCTGTATTTTGGTTTTTGAGACAAATGTCACTAATATCTTTGCTCAATCTATCCTTGAACTTGCTATTCTCTTGCATCAGACTCCTGAATAGCATGAATTACAAGTTATGCTAGCACACCAGGCTACAAAGCAGTGTTAATATTAGCATTATTCATGATACCCAAAAAGTGAAAATAATCAAATGTCTATCAGTGGATGAATGGTTAAACTGTGGTATATCAATACAATGGAATATAATTTGGTCATATATAGGAATACAGTACTATAGATGCTGCAGTGTGGATGAACTTTGAAACAGTATTCTGGGGGAAATAAGCAAGATTCAAAAGCCTACATACTGAATAATTCTATGGTGCTAACTACAACCTGAGGGAGCACAACAGGATACTGGGCTGAGGAAAATTAAAACAATAGAGATGTAGACCGATAGAAAATGGGAGAGACCAAGGGTACCAAATGCTCTCCTGCATTTGGTCCAGGAGTTCCTACAAGCAAGCATATTTATGAGTTCATACAAAGAAAGTTACCCTGGATACATGCAACACAGTAAAGCACCTATATTAATATTACAATCAGCTAAAACAGTGTTTGTGAGACACTGGTTCCCTTATTCTTTTGAGACAGAAGACTGCAGCCCAAGGGAAAGTCCAGACATGATGTTTACTTAATCTAACCCAAGGTTAAGTTGTCAAGGACTCTTTGTCCAGCCTACAAGGTCCCTAGCACAGCTGCCAGCCTAAAGAAAAGGGGGGAACAGCAATCCAGTCTCTTCACTCTCTTCAGAGTTTTAACCCTTGCATTGCCAGCTCTAAGCATTCCAAGGTAGCATTCTAACCTCTCAGCCTTGTTCAGGTTTCACAGCTCAGCTTCAGAATTTTCTGCAATTCTGTTTATATGAAATATCAGGTACAGGCAAATTCATGAAAATGGAAAATAGATTAGTGCTTACCACAAGTGGATGGAAGGAAATATGGGGCTTAACTGCTAATGGAGAGAGATTTTTTTTAAGGGGTAATAAAAATATTCTAAAAGGAGCTAGGAAGATGGCTCAGTGGTAGAGTGCTTGGCTTGCATGCATGAAGCCCTGGGTTCGATTCCTCAGCACCACATAAGCAGAAAAAGCTGTATGTGGCCCTGTGGCTCAACTGGTAGAGTGCTAGCCTTGAACTGAAGAGTTGAAGGACAGTGTCCAGGCCCAGAGTTCAGGCCCCATGACTGGCAAAAAAAAAAAGAAAATTAAAAAAATATATATATATATTCTAAAAGTAAAGCTGTGTGCTGGTAGTTCACACCTGTAATCCTAGCTGAGGTCTGAGAATCACTGTTCAAAGCCAGAACGGGCTAGAAAATCTGAGACTCATATCTAATCAACCATCAAAACTGTGGAAGTGGAGTTGTGGTTCAAACGGTAGAATGTAAAGTGCTCTTGAGTTCAAATAAGCTCAGAGACAGCACCCAAGCCCTGAATTCAAGCCTCAGGACTGGAAAAAAAAATCTGAAAGGTGACTCAGGAACAACTTTGTAAATATATTAAAAGCCACTCAATTCTGTACTTAAGAGTATGGACTTTATAGCAACTGAATTATACCTCAGTAAAGCTGTTAGTTTTAGTTTTATAATGCCTATTGAAATAGCAGCCTATCAGATTTGTAAATATGAAAAAAATTGTTATACTACTGATGAAAGTGTAAATTGAGACAATCTTTTTGTTAGCCAACATGGTAACATCCAGCAAGCTTTAAAAAGCATATTATCTTATGGCTTGACTGGGCTCAGTGGTTCAACACCTGTATAGCATGCTGTGCATGCTGGTAGACATGAGTTTGATTCTACAGCAGCATAAAAATGAAAAAAATATATACAAGTTAACTCAACTGTTTTATTTCTAAAAATATATTGCACAAAATCAGTCTAAGAAAAATGCGGTATGTAGATTGATGAATAAGTGACAGTATGTAATACATATACACAGATTTATATGAAGTTATTTTTATAACTGTATAAAAACTATAAACAACTATGCATCCAATATCAAAGTTTTAAGAAACTTAATTCTGCCAAGTGCCAGTGTATCTGTAATGAATCCTAGCTACTCAGGAGACTGAAATCTGAGGATCATAGGTTGAAACCAGCCTGGGCAGTAAAGACCATGGAGATTCTTTTTTTTTTTTTTTTTGTCGGTTGTGGCACCTGAACTCTGGGCCTGGGCGCTAGCTGTCCCTCAGTTCTTTTGCTCAAAGCTAGCACTCTACCACTTGAGCCACAGTGCCACTTCCGGCTTTTTCTGCTCATGTGGTGCTGAGGAATTGAACTCAGGGCCTCATGCAAGCAAGGCAAACACTCTACCACTGAGCCACCTTCCCAGCCCTCCATGGAGATTCTTATCTTCAAATAACTAGCAAAAAGTTGTAAGTACAGTTGTGGTTCATATGGCAGAACGCCACCTTTAAGAGAAAAAGCTAAGGGAGAGTGCCCAGGCTCTGAGTTCAAGCCCTAGTACTGGCACAAAAAAAAAAAATTTTTTTTGGATCCAGTCGTGGGGCCTGAACTCTGGGCCTGGGTGCTGTCCCTCAGCTCTACCGCTTGAGCCACAGCACCACTTCCGGCTTTTTTCTTTCTGCTTATGTGGTGCTGAGGAATCGAACCCAGGGCCTCAGGCATGCAAGGCAAGCGCTCTACCACTGAGCCACCTTCCCAGTCCCCACAAAAATTTTAAAAATGAAAAAAAAAAGAAGGAAGAAAGAAATATACCTCTCATTCTTGAATGATGTTTGAGTTGGGGTAGAGAGGAAGCCTGGGTCTTGGAGGAGTATATTTTCTTGTATATTTTTGTTATATTATTAATTTGTTGTTGTTGTTGTTATTGGTTGTCGGGCCTGAACTCTGGACCTGGGCGCTGTCCCTCAGCTCTTCAGCTCAAGGCTAGCACTCTACCACTTGAGCCACAGCGCCACTTCTGGCTTTTTTCTGCTTATAGTAATTGAACCCAGAGCCTCATGCATGGAAGGCAAGCACTCTACCACTGAGCCACCTTCCCAGCCCCTATTAATTTGTTTTTATCATCATAATAAATTATTGAAAAATAAAACAGTATATTGAAAACATGTATATTACAGCTTTTCATGCAGATTGAAGCTCTCTTTCCACAAAAATTTGGAACATGGACTGAGTATGCTAAAAGATACTGCAATGCACATGTCAGGTATGACAATTTTTCATTACTTCACATATTTATCACTAAGATTAAGGCTTTATTAGTCATTCTTTATTCCAGCAATTTTCAGACTTGTGGTAGCTCTTCAGTAATAGATTGTGTGGATGAACTACATGTAAAATCAGTGAAAAGAATACCTATGCATGGTATTGCATCCCTGTAATCCCAGCAGTCAGGAGAATTGTCTTTGAGGCCAGCCTGGGACTATGCAGTACGGTCCTGTCTCATAATTTTAAAAATTACAAAAAAACAGCAGGTAAGTTTTTCTTCATTTTTACTTTTTACCTTTCACATTTTCTATCTTCGAAATTATTTACTTTTATTGACTTAGATATACATGCAAATTATATGAATTTGAGAAATAAGTGATTTTTCATGCTTGTCTTCTAGCCAGACATTTTCCTTTTCAGTTACCACTGTTGACAGTTTCTTATTTGTCCTTCTGGGTACACTTTGAGCCTGAACAGTCATGTATGATTGTATAGTTGGACTATTATTCTGTTGTATTTCCACCTATGTAGTAGGATATACACATTGTTTTTGTGTTGTGCTTTCTTCACAATAGATATTGGAAGTCTTTCCATCACAGTTCCTGAGGGGCTTTTCCTTTTTCTTAGCAGTACTAGGGTTTGAATTCAGAGCCTTGTGCTTGCTTAGCTTGCTTGCTCAGCTGGCACTCTACAGCTTAAGGAACACATCTTACACCCTACTGGTTATATTGGAGATGACACTATAGGACTTTCCTGCCCAAGCTTGCTTTGAATCACAGTCTTCCAGATTCTACTTCCTAAGTAGCTAGGATTATGGCACCCAGTTTCCTGAGGAGTTTTAACATTCATTTGAACGGCTCCATGTCTATATCCACTGTTTGGAGTTTATTGATTCAATTCACTCTTAAGAGGTATTTGCTTTAGTATATAGGGAATGCTATATAATGAGTCTCTCTGCACATGTTCAGAGTTAGTTTTGTGGCATGAAAATCTACACTTAGATTGTCTGTGTTTTATTTTCACATCTGCTGTTTCTCAGATCTTTTCTTTGAGGAATTTATTTATTTTTTTATTTTTATTTTTTGCCAGTCCTAGGGCTTGAACTCTAGACCTGGACACTGTCCCTGGGCCTCTTTGTACTTAAGGCAAGTACTCTACCACTTAAGGCACAGCACTACTTCTAGCTTTTTTGAGTAGTTTATTGGAGATAAGAATCTCACAGGGACTTTTCTGCCCAGGTTGGCTTCAAACCTTGTTCTTCAGCTTCCTGAGTATCTAGGAATATGGGCATGAGCCAATGGTGCTTGGCATAAGGAACGTAACTTTATCTTCCTGTTCCTGAGTTTCCTTATCTCTAAAAGCAGAGTATAATTGTGCTTGCCTCAGAGAGTTATTGGACTTATATTTATCTTTATACTTATATTTATAAAGGACTTGAAAGGTGACTTAGAGTGAACACTTAATTGTTAGCTGTTATAATCTTTCACATTATCATTATACAGATGGAAATAAATTTAAGATAGATTTATAAAAGTAGAATTGCTGGTTCAAAGACATTTTAGGTCTTTCTAAGTCATGCTCCACAGAGTTTTATTCCCACTTGCTGTGTGTTTAGGTTTGTCTCTTTTCCCATAACTTAAAAGCACGGTGAAATATACTCTTTTTTTTGGGGGGGGGCGGTCATGGGGCTTGAACTGGGAACTGCCCCTGTGCTCTCTTCAGCTCAAAGTGAGCATTCTACCACTTGAGCCACAGCGCCACTTCCAGTTTTTTGGTGGTTAACTGGAGATAGGAGTCTCATGGACTTTTCCTGCCCAGGCTAACTTTGAACCACTATCCTCAGATCTCAGCCTCCTGAGTAGCTAGGATTGCAGGTGTGAGCCATTGGCACCCAGCTTGTGTCTTAGGCTTTTTAAAGGACTTCCAAGTACAGATCTACAAAGAATAATCCCTGATTGTTTATACAAAGCCAATCTAACTTTGATACCAATATCAGACAAGGTAATTCCCCCAAAGAAAGAAAACATGATCTGAGTGGTGGCTCACACCTGTAATCCTAGCTACTCAGGAGGCTGAGATCTGAGAATCACTATTCAAAACCAGCCCGGCAGGAAACTCCATGAGACTCTTATCTCCAATAAACCACTCAGAAAACCGAAAGTGGTACTATGGCTCAAGTGCTAGAGCGCTAGCATTGAGCTGAAGAGCTGAGGGACAGCACCCAGACCCAGACTTCAAGCCCCATGAAAGACTCCCCCCCCCCAAAAAAAAAAAGAAAGAAAACATGAGACTTTCTACTTAGGGCTGTAAATACAAACATCTTCAATTTTAATACTTTAGTAGAATCTAGAAACTCAAAAGTTCTAATATATTACCTATGTATAAATATAATTTATGTCAGGAATGCAAGGATTATTTATTTCTGTCTATGTGTCTATTCTTCTATTTATTTTTGAGTGGGGCTCTTTCTTTGTTGACCAAGATTGGCTATATACCTCTGAACTCCTCAGCTTCTCTATTTACCAAAACTTTAACACCCCATATCCTGTTCATGTTCACGCATGTTATTATCATATGTATTCATATATATATATATGTATGTATGTATGTATGTGTTATTCATATATAAATATACTAGGCACACAAAAGCATACATCGTATGTACATAGTCATATATGCATAATTAAAGTACACCTTTAGTAAATAATAAATTGGTTAATAAGTAGATTAAAGTAGGTTAAATTATTATATCCAATACAGTAGAATATCATGTAGTTTTATAAGTATTATTAAATGAATATCTAAGGTACATTATTGAAGGAAAGGAAATTTTCAAACAATTTTGCTATCTTTTCTTAAAAAATTTTTTTTTATTGGAAAATACTGTACAGAGGGGTTACAGGTTACAATTACATGGGCAAGATAATGAGTACATTTCTTTTTTTGTTGTTGTTGGTTGTTGGCCTGAACTCTGGGCCTGGGCGCTGTCCCTTAGCTCTTCAGCTCAAGGCCAGCGCTCTACCACTTGAGCCACAGCACCACTTCTGGCTTTTTCTGCTTATGCGGTGCAGAGGAATCGAACCCAGGGCTTCATGCTTGCAAGGCAAGCACTCTACTACTGAGCCACCTTCCCAGCCCATGAGTACATTTCTTATCAAGCATTGTAGCCTCCTCCTTTGTTTCCCCTTCCCATCCCTTCCCATCTTCCCCCAACCCCCCTATCCAAGTGAGCACATTTCTTGTCTAACTTGTTGCCCCTTCCCTCATTTTTCTCCCTCTTTCCCTCCTCAACTCTTTTTTAAAGAAGTTTTTGTACATAGAAACACATAAATAGGTTTTCTGTGATAGAGTGATGGCTTCTGGCCCAGCTAACAACCGTTAGGCTTGGATTACTGTGAAGTCCCCTTTGCATGCTGTTATTTCAGCTCTTCAGCCTTAGTGATTCTTGCACTGCAGATACCAAGTTAGTCCATGCAAAACATAATTACTGAAATAATCATTAGGCAACTATGAGAGCCTAAATGTTCAGTACACTTATCTTTGTTTATTTTCATTTGGTTTGGTTTAGGTTTGTACTGTGGCTTGGATTCAGTGGCATCACGCTTGCCTAGCTGGTGTTATACCACTTGATCTGTGGCTCCAGTTCATCATTTTGCTAGTTAATTGGAGATGGAGTCTCATGGACTTTTCTGGCTGGGATAGCTTTGAACTGTGATCCTCTACATCTGTCATCTTGAATAGCTAGGATTACAGTTGTAAGCCACTGACACCTTGCTTGCTTAGCTAGTATTATGATTTGTCATATGACAACAGAAGTATATACTTGTCCTTTTCTTACTTACAAATGCAAACACTGCTTTGAAGAAAGATTAATTTTTCTGAAATGCTATATGATAATAGATATTGTGTTCTTTTTTCTGTTTTCTAGAGACAGCTATTTCAGAGATTAGTATTTTTTCCTCTTAAAAGGCATTTTCTTGCCGGGCGCTGGTGGCTCATGCCTGTAATCCTAGCTACTCAGGAGGCTGAGATCTGAGGATCGCGGTTCAAAGCCAGCCCGGGCAGGAGAGACCGTGAGACTCCTATCTCCAATAAACCACTAGAAAACCGGAAGTGGCGCTGTAGCTCAAGTGGTAGAGCGCTCGCCTTGAGCTGAAGAGCTGAGGGACAGCGCCCAGGCCCAGAGTTCAAGCCCCCCGGGCCACCCAAAAAAAAAAAAAAAAGGCATTTTCTTTCAAGTTTCATATCAAAAGTCTTGTTTTTTCTTTACTTTTGTACTTTGAAAACACTGTGGTTCCATACACTCAATTTCAGATCAGGACATTTCCTGACATTTTAAGTTAGTCTGTGGAATGCTATTTTTTTTCTACAGTGTTTTTAATTCTGTGAAGCTGCCATTTTCACACTATAATTTTGCAGAATGCAAATTATGGTTAGTTGTTCTGCTTTGGACTCATTTTATATTTGAAATGTCATAGCTGTATTCAAAATAAATGTAGGTGAAGCTTGGACAAAAAATGTTACTTTGCCTTTATTAAGTTTATTAAATACTTTAGTAGTGGCAACCAGAAGCATACTAATGCAAATGTAGTTTATGTATCCGATTTAGTGTGAGGTCCTCAGAGAAAAGGATTCCTCAGCCAGAACATTCTAGATCCCCAAATTTCTGACATCAGTCACTTTACTGCATTATATTTAAGGAAGTTATAAATACAACAATGCTTTGGGGAAGTAAGCATACTGAATCATCAGTTGTTAGAGCTAGAAAAGACTTTAGAGTTCATCCATTCATCTTCTTATCATTTTATGGATACTTTGTGGAGCTAAATGATTTGCCCTGTTTCTAATTTTGTCTTGCATTTTTCCCGGTTTTTGGGGGGCTGAATGAATGATTTTAAAAATGGCAATTTTAATAAATACTCTATTGAAAAGAACATTTTAAATAAGGATAAAGAGTGATACTGTACATTTTCCTTAGCACTGTCTTATTTAAAGTTC